TCCATCATCCCCCGACCCCCCGCTCCTACAATTCCATCATCCCCCGATCCCGCTGTCTCCCCGTCCCCTCCCGGCCCGGCCCCCTGGGTCTCCATGGCAACACCCGGAAGCTCCCGCCCATCTCCGTGGCATCACCCGGAAGCTCTCCGCCCATCTCCATGGCAACTGCCGGAAGTGCCCCGGCGGTCTCCCAGGTGACGCCGGAAGCGGCTGCGCGGGGCGGGCTCGGGCGGCAGTGACGCTGAGGGCGCCATGTCGGCCATGTCTGCGGGCGGCGGAGCGCAGCGGGACGCGGGGGCCGCGGGCGGGTGAGGCGCGGCCGGGCGGGCTCGGGCGGCCCCGCCACCGCCGCGGGGGCACCGCCTCACCCTCCTCTCCTCTTTTCCAGGCGCCGCAGCAAGTGGGACCAGCCCGGCCCCGCTCCCACCTTCCTGCTGCCCGGCACGGCGCCGTTGCCCGGGCGGCCGTTCGCCGGCGGGGGCGGCGATGGCGGCGCCGCCGTGGCCGGTTCCGAGGGCTCCGCGGCGCCCTCGGGAGCGCTGGATGCGGCCGCGGCCGTGGCGGCGAAGATCAACGCCATGCTGATGGCCAAGGGGAAGCTGAAGCCGGCGCCCAGCACGGCCGACAAGGTGGGGGGGGCGAGGGGGCGTCACGGGCGGGCTCCAGAGACCGTCTTTGTCGGGAAACGGTGGAGTTGGGGGCGACAAAATCACTCAGGAAACATAATTTTAATTTTTTCCTCGGCTGTGGGGTCAGGCCTTGCGAGGCTTTAGGAAGCCGCCTCTGGGGAGATAAAGTTTTTCCCCGGGATCACGGAATGTTGGGGGCTGGAAGGGACCCCGCGAGGATCATCCAGCCCCGCTCTTAGAGAGTTTTTCCTGAAGGGTTTTCCAGGTAGCAGAGCTGATGGAAAAGCCTGATTTGGGTTGGAAAAGGGCCTTAAACCACATCCAGTTCCGTGGGCAGGGCCACGTTCCACTGTTCCAGGTTGCTCCAAAGTGGCCTCGGACACTTCCAGGGATCCAGGGGCAGCCACAGCTTCTCTGGGAATTCCATCCCAGCCCCTCCCCACCCTCACAGGGAGGAATTCCTTCCCAGTATCCCAGCTAACCTTGCACTCGGGCAGTTTAAAACCGTCCCCCCTTGCCCTGTATAAAAAGTCTCTCTGGCTCTGGTTTTTTTTTTTTAAAGCCCCCTTTGGGCTCTGGAAGTAAAATCTGGCACTTTGGCACCTCTAAAAGTTGGCAGGTGCTGCTGCTGCTGCCCCAAATCTTCCACCTCTGCTTTTGTCCCGAGCTCTGGTGACACCCTGTGCTGAGGGAACCACTTAACCAGGGAATCAACCTGCATTTGGGATTGGCAGTTTTGTTGCACATTGGTTTTATTATTTAATACAGTAACAAATATATCATTAGAACATGCTATGGTTTTATTGCACACGTTGCTGTCGGTAGGAAGTGCTCAGTGGTGGCATTTCCCAGAGTGATTAAACTCTGGTGACACTTCAGGTTGGGAGGGGGTGGAAATTAAGGAGCTGCAGATTAACGAATGTACTTTTTTTAATAAAAAAGTGGAAGGAGTGGAGCAATTTAATGTCTGTACAGTTTAATGGCTGTACAGTTTAATGGCTGTACAATTTAATGTCTGTGCAGTGCACTGGAGTCCCTCCACAGCTGCCCTGTGGCTCTTTTTTAAGTGCTGTGCCTTCCTGTGAATTTTGCTGAGTGGTTGGGGGTTACTGGAAGGTTCTCTTTTTTTTTTTTAGTAGGGTCTTGGTTGATGTTTATAACCCCCCCAAAGTCCATTCCAGAGCTTTTAGAAGGCTGTACTCACTCCACACGTTGAAAAAAGGCTCCCAGGTCTTTGTGGTAACCCCCAACTCCTCCTAAATCTGTGCTTCTTTGGCTTTTTATTTCCTAGAATGTCGATACTGACACAAAATATTACGTTTTTAAAAAGGGGGGAGTGTGGGTGAGCTCAGATCTCGAGCAGAAATTCTGAATTCTCTCTGTGATTAAAGGCAGTTGAGATAAGAAGGAGCTAGAAACATGAACTTTGTGTTTCTTTAGTCTCAGGTTTCTGTCAGAGCTGCCAGTCCAAGTGGGAGATGCCGTGGTTGCTGTTCAACAGCTTCCCAGCTCAGTTCCACATCTGTTCCTCCCCTTCCAGAGCAGGAACATTAATCCTTCTGTTAAAATGTGCCGAAGATAAAGTGTCTTTGTTTGGGCTCAGGGTTGTGAAGAGGCAGATTGAGCAGACACAGCGTTGTTTCTGTTAATATTTGTGAAGATTTTGGGTTCAGTGGCTGGGAAGGGGGAGCGAGGAGGACGTTGGGAAAGGGCCAAACGAGGAGGACCTTCCCCCTCCTGAGCCCCGGGGCCGGTCTGTTCCTTGCCCCACGGCTTTCCAACCTCTGGGAATGTTCTCTGTTGAAGCCCCA